GAGTACAGGACGGGGAGGAGACAATGTCACCAAAAATAGCCAATCAAAAATAAAAGGTCAGAAAGATATGAGTGACCCTGATATTTACAAGCAACAGCCCAAAACTTTCACTAAGTATCTTGCAAAGCTCAGATTGTAACCATAACAATATCTAAACACTGGATGGAAAAGGCTGTTGTCAGCTAGCTTCTCTAGAACGTGGTCCAAACGACTTTATTCTCACCTCCACGGAAAAGCCAGAAGGATGTAAAGTTAACTGTGCTGAATCCAATCACTTTGGCACTCCTGAACGAAACCTCATCGGTCAAACTGGGACAATCTTAAACTCGTCCCATAAAACGATGTTTCCAGGAGGCTGGTGGGGGAGGCCCAGAGGGTGACTTCTCTTTATCGAAGTTTCTTGTAATTAATAGTATACACTGTCATATTAAACTGACATAAAAAATTCTGTACAAATCAATCTGGAGCTGTACAATTAACTCTGGATCTGCAAGACGCACCTGGTTACTACCTAAAATGGGCACTAGGAGGTTAAAAATACTGCTCCTTCTCAGAGTTACTTACACCGCCTTAGAATATTAAAAGTAAAATTTTAGAACATCTGGTTTTCCTTTCCACTCCCTATGATATCATGTTTTCCAAGCACATTTGGCAGCTCACTGTAAAGATACAGGCAGACTAAACATACAGGGCAAGGTAGAGTCAAGATGAAAAAATTCCAAAGCCCTGGATGTAGTAAGTGTGTTTCCTATCTCCAAATTTCAGTTACACAAGTGGTATAATAAGGGTTTTCCCCCCTTGGTAACTCTTCAACCTTCTTCTTCCTTGATGAGATGAGATACCATATATCTGCCCTCTAGAGTTTTGGCTGTGTCTTTGTAAGTAATTTTTCATGTATTACGGGATATTCAGAGTCCCTATACAGCAAGATTCAGTTATAGGAAAAAAAAAAATTATGTTTAACAGGGTCAGATTTTGTATGTACTTTTCTTTATCTCACTCCGGGAGATGAGATTAGCCTTCTATATTCCTCCTGCCTAAAAGGAAGAGGGGGAGGGGGGAAAAATAAAATTTAAAAAAAAAAAAAAAAAAAATCACACTACAGCCACTGCCTTTTTACTGCTTGGTTTTGTGCCTCCTAGCCTGGAACTGGGAAATTGGACCAAACCAGTTCCAGGGGACTGTGCTTCCCATTAATTTACACAGGCTGTAAACAATACAGAAGAGTGGCTGTTATAAAAACTAAAAGCTCCCATTTGACCGATTTCTCCCATATATTTTAACATAACTTGATGCAACCTTTGCATTTTTTCCTCTTTACTTATTTTATTATTTTTATTGGGTCACATTCAAAACACAGATTAGTCAGCATTAACATACCTTTAAGCTTAGCACATACATTTTATTGAGGCACAAGAAGGTAGCCGACTCATTTATGCTCACCAGTGAAGGAGCAGCAAACCAAGAAATCCAACGTCAGTTTCTTGCTCTAAATCTTAGTTTCTCCATTTTGTAAAAAGACAGTTTGGAAATGCAAAGAGATGCCTTGGGAATCCTAACATGACAGAGTCTTTGGCTTATTATTTCACATTTAAAAGCAATTTATATCACAGTAATTATTAAAGTGTACAGAGGAGGAAAAGTACATATTAAAAAAAAAAACTACTGACAAAATAATAGTCCCAGTGGTTATGCCCTGATTAAAACTTAATGACTAATCAATAAAACTATAATTATAACTTTCACCCTGATGCAATTTGGAATAGTTTATATATTTCTATTGATCGACTAAGACTTTATATAATACAAGTGTGAGAAGATCTTGCTTTGTGCTATTTTTATTACAGGTTTGTTGTAGCAAATCTCTAAATCCCTATCTCAATTATTTTACAGCTTAGTTCTCCCATCACACCAAGAGAAGAAAAGCTAGCAAAAAGCAGAATCTTATTAGCTGAAAAATGGCTGTTACAACATCGCAGTTTCCACACCATAAAGTCAGATTGCCATTTCAATGGCTATCACTATATATTTCTCTAGCCTTAGAGTAGCAAGAGCCAAGCACATGAGACAGCTCTGAGCAACTCATTTAATTATGCTGCATCTCCATTTGTCAGCTGGCAAATGAAAGCAGTAAGTGCCTGAGTTGTAAGGGTCACAAGACCACAGACCACCTTGGAAAAAGCAGGCAACAGGTAATCATGCAAGGAGTCATCTGTAGCCAACTGCTCTTTGGCTGCTGGTGATTAAATTACCCGGTTATAGTTCTCCTCACAGAATACTCGCAAGCAGAGGAAGTACACTATAAATAACCCACTCGTGAAAGAAGAGACCTTTTTTTTCACAGAGCACTGGCACCTCTTTATGAGCCCAATCGTCATTTTGCTTGATTCTGAAACAGCACTTGAGAAGCTTAAAACACCTCTTGGATCTGCTGTTCCATGATATATCAGGCAAACACGGAATTTAAGGGCTATGCATTGCCATAGTGGTGAAGAACCTCTTGCTGATTTCTAACAGCCTTTATAGAATTTCCATGAAAATAAGTTCTGTGCATTGCCTTAAGTTAGAAGTCATAACCTGACAGTACAGGCTCTAGTCAAGATCAAAAAGAATCTACTTGAGGCAGCAACACAAACGTATCCCACCCAGCCCTAAATCTATCACTTTATCTACTCCTGCTTATAACTACTACCAGAGTGGGTGCTGCGTTCACCTATCTTCATGTGCTTGGTATGTTAAATTAAGTTCCCTGGCTAAGTCCCATTCAATCTAATCAGTATCATTTCCACAGAAGAATAAAAATTACTTGGGAATCAAAGCTGAACCCACAGAGAGCATGAAGAGCTGAACTGCTTCCCGTGGGAAGTAGCTAGGCCATGCTGCTCTAATAGCGAGGCACCTGGTGCTAAGCTAAAGTGGCATGGATCCCTCTGCACCCCTGGCAGCTTGGGACCAACCTACAAATAAGCTGAGCCACCACGGGGAGTATAAATACACAGCTACCTGTAATGGAGGTAAAGAAGCCAGTGTCACATGAGATGAAAAAACTCAGTTAATAAAAGCAGAATATGGAACCACAGACACAATACATTTTTCTGCCCCACATCATGGGCTAAGTTTAAGCTGCAAAAGAGCCAGAAAAGCTAGTTTCATACAGTCCATTTCCCTCCCCCAAACTCGTCGAGACACAGCAATTCACACCCCATTTCATCACGGCAGTGCCAGGAAACACCCCACCTGACAAAAGCAGGAGAAAGGAGGTGGACAGCGCTGGCAGGAACAGCAATGGACTGTTTACAGCTGAACACCCAGGCCTGAACACTGCCAAGGCACTGTGCCAACTCTGCAGTTAAAAACGAGAGGAGTATCTGGGGAAAGGAGGATTTTGCTGAACCTGGAATATATTCGATTCAGCTAACCCAAAGCAACCTTGCTCTTTTTTTTTTTTGACAATAACCTCTGAAACAGTTTTTAAAAACACAATATTCAAGCTTCTAGGATAAAGTGTGTGGATAAAGTATCTTCAGTATTAACCTATAGACAAGTTTGTGTCTGGATCAGACAGGAACGGTCATTGTTTGATCACATCGAGAAGTGTTCTCTTTCAACACTTGCTACAGTCTAATTGCACATGAAGTTCCTGTTATGGAGCATCACATACTAGATCTTGCCATAGCTAAATTTTCAACTCTGTAGATCTACAGGTTGTCCAGTCATCCTGGCATTGCATGTTGGCAATGAAATTAATTTTATGATCTTAAACTGGAATATAAAGTCACTTTCAAATACAGCCTTGACATTTCCTTAGACCTGAAAACTTTTCCTTCTCTCAAAACAAAAAAAAAGATTTCTAAGGAGTGGTCAATATAAGCTGGGAAACAGTCTAGATATACCAGATTGGAAAGTCAGGAGGGCAAGAGGTATTTTATTACTTAAATTCAATAGGTTAATGCTATTTCATTTGTAACTTACAATATAAAACAGGCAAACAAAAAAACACCCACCTACGCACACAATTAAATTCTGCAAAGTCCATGCTGTTAACAAGGCAAGGGCAACCTAGGCATCAAAACAAGAGAAGCTTCTCTTGTGACCTTCCTTAATGATCATCTAAAGTGTTCAACAGGATTTGGTCCCAATTATTCTGGGTATTGTATAAATCTAGGCAAAGCAAGCCATTACTTGCAGCTCCAGAACCTGCTATAAACAAAGTAATGGATTTAACGGATAAGAAACACAGCAGCCTTTCCAAAAAGTGGGGGGAAAGA